ATGCTATTCATTAACTGAAATGTACTTGTAACTTCACTCATCTCACTAGGCAATGACAGTCAAGTTCACAAGGTCCTGCTTACCTGAACATATTCTGATCAGCACTTTCCTTTACAACTACCTAAGTGGGGCTATTAGTAATACTGCAGCTTACTTTTGTGTGGTATCAGCATGTCATACTCAACCATCTGTAAACCAGACTAATTTTCCTAGATTTAGTTAGGTGATCCTAAGGAACTTTCCATTTTTTTTTTAAGAGACAAGAAGGAATCTATCAATAATAGTTCCTATAGGGATCTGGTCTACTTGCTCATGCACATTAGTTATGCCCTTAGGACTTGCTCAAACCAGTGCTGGGTCAATTTTATTTGATGTGCTCAAATTTATGAATTGGTAGGGCAGCCAATAGCTTTTATGATGGACTACCTGAGGTTATATGGTGCATTTTTGGCAACGTAATCACGTAATCAGGATCTGTTGAGGACCAGTGCGGAGTTCAAAGCCAGGTTTCAAGGAGAGAATAGTTAGCTGTCAAAAATGATTTCCTTTGCATCTAAACCTGTAGTTTTTTACTAAGATTCATTTCAAATCTGTAGTTTATACTTTGATTCATATCTGGTGAGGACTGTGTACATCTTTCAAAATAAATTTTGTATTTGGTTTAAATTTGAAAGGTAGAATTATAGAGAGAAAAAGAACAATCTTCCATCTGCTAGTTAATTCCTCAAATGCCTGCCATAGCAAGGGCTGGGCTGGGTTGAACCAGGAGCTGGGAGCTTCATCTGTATCTCCCACGTGGGAGAAGGGGCCCAGGAACTTGAACTGCCATCTGCTGCCTTTGCAGGCCTTGGCAGGGAGCTGTTGGGACTTGAACTAGCACTCTTATGGGATGTTGCAACCATGGGTGGTGGCTCAGCTTGGTATATCATGGTGAAACCCCCATGTGTATATGTTGAAATCAACTAGTTCCAACTTTCTGCTTATTATGTGCAGTTTGAATTATATTACCTTTGTTAGAGAGCTTAATGCAACTTGTGATATTTTGCTGGCATGGAAAACTAATCAGTGTGTTTACAGTATGCAGTACTGATAGCTGGTTAGAACTTTGAGATGGGCAACAAAGGGTGTATTGCTGGCTCTATCATCTGAATGAAATTGTTTTTGATAGCCTTTTATAAAAGGATAGAAAAGCTTTATTCCATTTGGCAGGAAATTTTACTTGTTCTACCACAAAAGTATATCTTTATCCATAACTACAATTGGAATAATGTGATTATTCTTACAGTAATTTACTATAATTTCTTAAGATCCATCTTTGTTTGGAACAGGCCTAAATAAATGAGCTAGATGCTAATGGTGGTAGGAATCACTATTTTTTTTTTATGGCTCAAGTTTATTTGTGAAGCACTTATTTCTATAATTTCTCCAGGAAGTTTGCATTACTTTTGAATTATTTATCATTTCAGTAGGTAATGGTTCTGTTGAGATGAACTTGGCTTCCTCTACTTGATTGTCCTGTGTGGTATCGCTTACTCTATGGATCAGGCAATCAAGTTGGACCTTGTGTTAATTGTCATGTTTGTCCTTTCTATCTGTGCTTTCTAAACTGGGGAGGTAACTTTGGGGTGAATTCAAGTACCTGCTCGAAGCTCTGGTGAGAGACCTTATCAATTAATCTTCCAACCTCTGTAAACTCTTACTTTCACTGTTGAATCACAGATCACAGTAGTATCTATCTATCTATCTAGTATCCATCCATCCATCTATCTATCTATACATATACCTTTTTAAAAAGCATTGAATCTTTTGTTTTGTTGCTTTCCTACATTCCTGCATCTCTTTTTTCCCCCACTACATTGTTTCTTAACAATTCTTTCTTTTGGCATCTTGCCGGAAATCAGTAGGTAGGAGAGTGGTTGAGAAGGTGGATGAATAAAAGCACTTCATTAATTAGCACTTACTGTTTCTGCTGTGCAGGTATATATTACTGAGTCAATAGTGCCAGTTTGTAAAGCAGTGCTTTTTATGATTCATGTGAACAAGATTTAACTTTTGAGATTTTCTAAAAGGAAACATTTGAATAGATGGTCTGGAACCTTTTCTTTTACCTTACCCCCTCCCAAATATTGTCTTTAACCTCAACTTTATTCCTGAACTTGAAATCCAAGTAAGTTATGTGAATATCCTAAAAGTATCCCAAATTCAGCATATTCAAATTGTACTCATTTCTTAGTCCCTGAAACTCATGCAGACTCTTTTTGGAATTAGTATGATCAATCCTAATACCAAATTAATATGTAAAATAGAAAACTGTGAGTCACTGTATCTTTTGTTCTTATAGAACTCAGTTTGGGGCTTCATATGGATGGCAGGTACCCCACTGTTTAAGCCATTACCTACTTCAGGATTCACATTTGAAGGAACCTGGACCAGGAATGGGACTGGGACGCAAACATAAGCAGTTACAGGAGGTGGCAGCCCACGTGGTGCCGTAATACCTGTGCCGAATGCTCACCCCTTAATGTCTTTGTTCAGTGGATAGGCAGCAGAGAGGGAATTCTTGCATTTGCTGGGTCATTCCTCAAATGCCCGCATGGATCACAGGTGGGGTTGAAGGCAGGACCTGGAAATTCAATCCAGGTTTTCCAGGTGCAAGGCAAGGACTCAACTGCTGGAAACATTGTGTTGCCTCCTAGGGTCTGCTTTCATAGGAAGTTGGAATTGTGAGCCATAGGTTTAAATCTAGGAACTCTGAAGTGGAATATGGGTGTCGTAACCAATGTCTCAATAGGTAGGCCAAATGCCTGCCTCTAGGAGTGTTCATAGTCCATTGTTTTCGGGGCTATAGTATAGTGCACAGAATGTTACTTGGTTAAGACAAATTAAAATTTTAAATTAAATGAGTCAATAAGGTTCTTATTCCTGAGTGGTCTTTCTCTCTTTGTAACCATTTTGTCTTGCTGTTTCTTTTTACAATGGTTCTGGGTAATATATACACTATTTATTTCACTGGGACTTTATTATGTAAACATTTTCAGGGTGGAACACCTTATTTTATGTAGAATTCATGAATATGTATATGAGTCAGTCTGGAGACTACATTTTGTTTCCTCACTGCTTAAATACTTGTGTTAAAGTGATTTTATTCTTTTGAATTTCTGAGAGGAAATGTTCTCTATTATTGTAAAGGCCAGCAGATTTCCTGAGTGTCCTTGAATGATTTATTCATGGCCTACTTGTACAGCAGCAAAAGAAAAGAATTATACATTACATTTTTAAATCTTGTGTGGAAGTAATTTTTAAAAATATATTTGATAAGACCTTTAATCAAAATTTTAATGAGTTGTCTTTCTAAGTCACAGTCATTAAAAAGGTTGTGGTGTCTCCTCCATTGTCATGTCTCAGAGCCGTGTACTTTTTTTGCCCTTGTTGTAATATGTATATGTAATATGTTTTCATCTTACTTTTGGTTCTTAAGTTAAATATTCTTGTCTTTAAGAAAATCCAAATTGTGCTCCTAATTAAGACTGTAAAACATTTTCTCCAGGGTTAAAACACCATTATCACCATACTCTGAGATGTATATAGCATTGATGTATGAATAGGTGAATAAAGTTGTATGTGCGCATGAGTATAGAACATGTATGAATAAAGTTAACCGAGAATGTCCATTACCTTATTTTTCTTTATTCTTACTTTTTTTCTGCATCTCTGTCAAGTTTCAGTGACTGAATACGGAAGGATGGATGAATGATCTGATAGTGATTTTGAAATGACTAGATTGTGAAATAATGGGGAGAAATTGTAATAGCAAGTGAAAAGCTTTTTTGATGTGAGGATTTTCAAATTTCCTACTGTATTTTAAAGATTTATTCATTTTTTATTGTAAGGTCAGATATGCAGAGAGGAGGCAATACAAAGAGGAAGATCTTATGTGTGCTGATTTATTCCCCAAGTGGCGGCAATGGCCAGAGCTGAGCTGATCCAAAGCCAGGAGCCTGGGGCATCTTCTGGGTCTCCCACATGTGTGCAGGGTCCCAAGACCTTGGGTCATCCTGACTGCTTTCTCAGGCCACAAGCAGGGAGCTGGATGGGATGTAGGCGGAAGGGATTAGAATCGGCGTCCATATGGGATCCTGGTGTGTGCACAGCAAGGGCTTTAACCACTAGGCTATCGCGCCAGGTCTTTTTAAATTTTTTCCTAGCACTTAAAGAGTAGTACAGTCAGTATTGAGTTTAAAGCATGCTTGAAACCCCATTTTTGATTTTGATAAATTTTGGAATAATGTTTGGAGTTATATTTGACCCTGTGACCTTGAATAGCTCTGCCAGTTATGGCCCAACTTAAAGCACTTTGAGGGCATGCCATGAAAACACACGTATTTTTACAGTAAGTATCGGTTTTAGGGGTTTTAATTGAAGCATGATGTGCAGTATGTAAACAGTAGTATTGCTATTGTTTATTTCATACTGATAATTTGAGAGTTTTGAGAAGTGAAGGTTATTTCTAAGTATAAGAGAAAGTTAAATACTCTGGGATTCAGAAGTTTTTATTTAAGCAAAATACTATATCATGAAAGACTTGACTGATGAAAAACACAAAAACTAGAGTTAAGTGTATGTGACTCTTCCAAAGGATGTTAGTATAGACTGCTCGTTTCATTTCTGAATAATAGGTATATGAAATACTGCAGTTACAATGGCAAAACAACAACCTAATAAAAAGCAAAAACATAACAACTGGTTTCAACTGTCATGTGTATTTTGATAAGGTACAAAGTAGCCACGACATATTAGGAACTTTGATTTAATTCCTTGTTTTAAAAGGTTATTTGACACTTGGCTACTCAGCAGTACTGGTAAACTTGGAGAATAAGATCTTACCCGTTGTTTCACATCTTTTCAGCTCTTCCTAATTAGAATATCGGTGTTACTGTTTGCTTAGCTTTTGCTCCTCTGTCGCTGTAAGGGTATTTTTTCATGCTATTTTTTTTCTCTAGGCATCCACAAGGACAACGATAAACCTCCCAGCTTCTCTGCTGTCCTTGAGACTTTAAGGCGTACCTTGACAGATTACCAGAACAAGCTGGAAGATGCATCTAATGAGGTAAGACTTGCACTGTTTGGCTCCACACATATAGCCTTCGGCCTGTGCCAGTATGTATCCTCTGCTTGTTGCAAAGGTCAAAAAGATTGGGAATGTTGAATTGACAGCTTCACAGATACCAGACATAATAAATTGTCTGTCACAGTTCTTTCTTGAAGTGTAGCCTAAAGTCGTGTCTCACTTCAGTTTTTCTGACTCTTCAGGCACAATACTGTAGACTCGTTTTGCTGGTCTTCATAATTTACCTATTTTATTTTGATAGAAAAGAACTGCAAGTCATTTAAATGAATGTCTCGTATTTAAATGTCAGTATGTTTTATCATGTTTGAAATTAGTTAGTAGAAATTTAGATTTTGTCAGTATTTTAGTTCACGATTTCTGTCAATTTTTTTTTAATAAAGAGAAATTAATATTCTCTAAAGGGAGTAAAGTGTTGTTAGAAGTTTTTACAAACAAATATCTGTTTGATGTAGGCTGGAAGCTTTTAGTTGGCTGATTTTAAAAGCTCTTCCTCTGTCATCTCATTTGTATTGCTTAATGTGTGGGTTGATAATTTTCATGGGTATTACAATGTTTTATGAATTCATGCTTTAAAAATTGATGAGTTTGTTTAGTTACAATTTGTCAAATTAGCATATGAAATAATTACAGTAAACACAGTTAGCAAAACAACCAACAGATTGCTTGAGCCAAAGGCAAGTCACATAGCATGGAATTTTGTGTGCATCCTTCTGTTTATCCCTTTTTTTTCATATACTAAAAAGACCATGAAACTGTTAGAGAAGGGGTTTATTTTAGCTTAGTTTGTTGTGATGAACAGAGAAAGTAATGTGGGTCGTCTTCATATTTTCAGTAACAAAATCACATAAAGGAAAGTGACCATAGAATTACATTTCTATGAAGAACAAATATTGCTACGTTTTTGTCAGCGAGACGAGGCAAGCTGTATTGTCAGTGGTTTGTGACGCTCTTCCGAGGCCTGCTTTTGGAAGCTGCGGGGTAACCAGGAACACATTCCCCACAGCGAGCTGTTATTTGGGGGGATGGATGTCACATGATCCTCTGCACAGTTGAAAAGTCGACTCAGCAGGCTTTGGCTTAGTAATGCGCTTTGTTGTGAACCAGTGCCAGAGACAGCAGTGGGGAGACCGAGGGGGTGGCTGCAAAGAAAGCAAAAAGAACAGTCTGACAGAAAGAAGAATGAACTGTCAGAGAAAATAAATCACAGGCGGTGCAGGACCAACTGATGACCTGCCACAGGCCTTCCCAGTAGGACTGCGTGTGACCGACCCTGAAGTTGTCATATGGAGAGAAGAGACCAGAGAATACCCTCCCGATGCAGAGAAAGAACCGGCTCTGGCCCTGTTCTTTCTTCTTTCCTTATCGATGCCACTGCTCTTGGCATTTTGGTCCACTAGGATTTTAAGAATAAAGTTATATTTGTTCACAGTAAGAATACAAGCCTTATCCAGACATCTGGTAACAAGGCAGTGCCATCGCTGACATTTTAAGGTTGAATGTTTTCTTTTCTGTTTAGCAATGTGAGCCTGTGACAGACACTGCATTACACAACCAAAAGAAATCTTTTTCACAACTCTTGATGACTACTGAAAAATTTGAATTTAAGTAGTTGCATAAAAAGCATTTGAAGTTTAGATTTGAGTTACCCATGCTTGAAAATTTTTGAAAAGTTACTTGTATATATTTTTCCATCAGCTAAACAGTATGAGTGACACAAAGGAAAAGGTGTCTAACGAGCTTGATTCTAGCAGACAGAAGATTGAGTCTCATACTAAAAGTATAAAGGTATTATAACTTATATTACTAGTTTTTTCCTTTTCTATTCGGCAAATGTAATTACCTTTGTATTATTTTAAGTTAATATAACTGAAAGTAGATCTAACTGTTACGGTATGTTTGTATACTATTTTAATTTTTATTATTTATTAAAGTGATGAGTTATTTTTATTAAAATGATTGAAAATTCAGTTAAGGGGAGAAATTCATTTTCTAGATTTAATGATATAGATTTAAAGAATGATTTAAGAGTTAATGTTAAGCTCAGATACATTTTAAATATATTTTGCTATAACACATCTGTGTTTGGGCTCAGTTTTTTTATATCCTATTAGGATGGAGCCATTGTTTTTATGTATCATGTTTGGTAGTGTGTTGAGACCAAACTTGGCTAAGGTCCAGAGTAATAGTTCAGTTTATTTTATATGCTGGTTTTATGTACTACATCTTTGCAAAATTATGTTGTTGGAATGGTGTTGATTCATGTTGTGTTTTTTTATGGCCACTCATTTAGAATTTAAGACTCATGAGTACCTACTTCAGAATGTTATTAAGGTTGATAATGTCATTGAAAGCTACATGTCCTTACATTAAATTTCAAAGGTTTATTTAAAAATGTTCTTTAAATATTTAAACTTTTGCGCTATCAATTTTGAAAATTATAAATGGATTGAAAGGAAAACCTCCTTCAATCAGAGTTTTGGAGTAAACTATTCAAACTTAACACATTTTCTCATGTCTGAGATAAGATTTTATACTTTGAACACACATTCCGCAAAGATACGTTAGTGCCTGGTATTGTTAACAAGTGCTTGCTTCGGAGATTCTTGTGTATTACAGATTTAAAGTTTTCCTCATGCATCCTGTTTCTGTGCCCCCTACTCCCTTCTCGGAGGCCTTCCCACAATCTCTTCCTTTCTTCAACAGGAGCTTCAGGATAAACTGGCCGATGTCAACAAAGAGTTAAGTCATTCACGCACCAAGTGCGCAGACCGTGAGGCTTTAATAGGCACCTTAAAAGTGGAACTACAAAATGTGCTACACTGTTGGGAGAAAGAAAAGGCGCGGGCAGCCCAGTCTGAAAGTGACCTGCAGAAGCTTTCCCAGGCTTCCCGTAAGGACACTGAGGTATCACCTGAGGCCAGGTCACTGTCAGTAAAGACCCCCCCATTTGATACATTTACATCTACCAGGTGGCTGTTTTCACCTGTATTTGATTTAATTGAGAAAATCTGTCTGAACGCAGTATTTTGAAATGTTCCTGAAAGCAGAGAAATCAGCAGCTTCCTTTGTGTTACCTTTGTGTGGTCAGGGAAATGTAACAGTTTAACCCTTTTGTGTTTTAGACAACTAGTTTTCTTGACTATTCGGAACCATCATGTTAACAAGTGGTTCCTAACAGTGCTTTGGAGTAACTTGTTGGCCATTGACAGATTTTTTTTTCCTTTATTTTAGTAGTTGTGTACCTTGATACAGTGGCAACAGTGTGCCTTTTGTCATTGGATAGACCTGGACTTGGCTTTTCAATTTACAGACAGCATGGCTGCAAACAGTCCATACAGCTTAGCTTTTTTTTTTACCTGGTTTGGGATTTGCAAAACAGGAATATCATTAATCACTTTTTAAAATGTTATAACAAAAATTTGTGTTCTTTATGAGCTTGTGTGAGTAGAAATGTTTATTTGTACTTTCTTTTACCCAATGGGATATAGAACTAGTCTAGCTAGTGTAACTGGTTTATCTAAGTTTTCTTGCATATTGAGTTCATTACTATAGCAAATAAGAACATTAGTGCCAAGAGAGTGAAAAGGAAACATTCTTTCTGCTCTTCTCACAATCTGGGATTTAAATTGTGTCCACATGAAGGGGTTGGGATTGTTCTGCACACCAGATAATGATTAAAGTGAAGGAAACTAAAAGCCTGACAGTATTGTAACGTGAGCTTGTCTACAGCATTGTGGTTGGGCTCAACATGTGTGAATTGATTCTGGACCTTGGGATTCTCTTTGCATGCCAAACGGATGATTATCATGCTTGCTTTATCACAGCACAAGCAAAAAGGGCATAATGGTGACACAGTCAAGGATCCTTGACAGCAGGCTTCCTTGAGGATGAATGTGGTCATTGGGCAAATGTGGAGGAGGAATATTCCAGTGCCTAAATATTACATTTTGGTTAGACACATTTAATAAGATTTCAAAATATTTCAACCTAGTTAAAAATGCAGAAGTCATCTCTCACTGCTTATAAAAAGACTGAGCATATTTATGAATTTGATTTCTTAATTCAGTTTGTGGTGGTAGCTACATTTTTCATCCTTTTCGAGTTCAATTTGTGTATAGTGTTTGGGAAAAAGTGAAGAGTGGTGGCACAGAAGGTAAATGAAAGATATATAGTTTTATTTGTGATATATATATATGTATATATATATAAAAGCTTTTTTCAGTTTCTTTTTTTTAAGGTTTATTTATTTTTATTGGAAAGGAAGATTTACACAGCAAAGGAGAGACAGTTAACCATCTGGTTCACTCTCAGATTGCTGCAGTGGCCGGATGAGCTGAGCCAGGAGTCTCTTTTGTCTCCAACTGGGTCAGCATCACCAGGAGTTGAGCTATTCTCCGCTACTTTCCCGGGATACAAGTAGGGAGCTAGATTGAAAGCGGAGTGACTGGGACATGCAGCAGCAGCACTCATGTGAGGAGCTGGCCCCTAAAGGTGGAGAACTAGCCTATTGAGCAATGATGCTGGCCCTTCGCACAGTGTGTAATTATACAACCTTTGCAAATGCTGTGTTCAGTTCTTGTACTTAGAAGAATTTTTTTGTTTCATCCTGACATTTTTTTCTTTTGAAACTTTCTGTTCTTGTTGATATATTAAAAAAATCTTGAGGCAACTTGTTTTATCCACATAGAGCATTCATTTTGTAGTTTCACAGTTACATTGTCTTTAGATTCTATGGTTTGGGATGTTATAGGTGAAACACCTTATAAAAAGAACCATTTCACAAGTTATTAAGTCCTCTGCATGTGTTTAAGATGGGATCAACGTTAACCTGAGTTTTGTAGGATAGTAAATATTCCTGTGTTATTTCACAATGAATTTCTTAGTCATTATAGTGATAATATACAGTTTTATTTTTTAATTAAAAACGATATCAGACATAAAAGTGTACATGTTTATGGGGACTATATGATGTTGTAGTATATGTGCATATTGTGCAATATCCATTTAGAGGCTAATATACTTTGTTTAAATTTTGAATTTTATGATACATTTCCATACAGTTTGGAATTTCCCTACTCACTCCAGGATAATATACTGTCAAAGAACTTTTTTTTAAAAGATTTATTTTATTTTTTATTGGAAAGGCGGATATACAGAGAGGAGAGACAGAGAGGAAGGTCTTCCGTCCGATGATTCACTCTCCAAGGGAGCGCAACGGCTGGAGCTGAGCCAATCTGAAGCCAGGAGCCTCTTCTGGGCCTCCCACGCGGGTGCAGGGTCCCAAAGCTTTGGGCTGTCCTCCACTGCTTTCCCAGGCCACAAACAGGGAGCTGGATGGGAAGCGGGGCTGCCGGGATTAGAACCGGCGTCCATATGGGATCCTGGGCGTGCAAGGCGAGGACCTTAACCACTTGCGCCAGGCCCAAAGAACTTTGTTTTTACATGTCTAATTAGTTTTGAAAATATGTCATGGGCAGCTATATCTATTTTTTTTGCCTTTGTAATATTTAAACACCTCCAAATGCCCAGTGTGACAAATACTGTATGAACTAAGTAGGGAAAGCAAAGGAATTTGTCTTCCATAGCTTTCATATCATTGTATACTTTGCCTAAGGAGCTTGGAATAGATTTCCTACAAGTGGTAAGTCAGTTGTATTCTGGAGGAAGAGAAGTAATTGTGTACATGTAAAATACACTTATTGGTATAATTTTTTCTTCATCATAGTTGAATAGCTAGCTCTCTATATATGTATCCATATATATATTTAAACTTAAATAACATCTGCTTTCACCAATGTAAATGCGAATTACATCAGAAAGATTTAGGAACAACTAGTCCAGAAACATTTTTTTGCGACTCAGGGAGCTTAGGCCTGGCAGGTGCTCAGTCAAATCTCATACTCAGCAGCAGAACTGGGTCAGAACTAGGGCTTACTGGCTTCTATGCTTCAGATTTCGGTTTTGAATGCCAGCTGTAAGCAATTTCAAGGATTCTTTCTGCTGTTTAGTTGTTAATGTGTGTGTCTATGTGCCATGCAAGAGGCAGTATTCTGAGAATTAAGTATTTTAAACCTTTTCTAGTTTTTGTTAATAAGATTTCTTTATTTTTTACCTAAAAGTCAGAGTTAGAGAGAGAAAATGAGACACAGAGAGAAAGATCTTCTGTCTGCTGGTTTACTCCTTAAATGGTTCCAATGGCCAGAGCTGAGCTGGTCTGTAACTTGGAGCCAGGAGCTTCGTCTGGTTGTCCCACATAGGTGCAGGTGCCTTGAGGAATCCTCCACTGCTTTCTCAGGCCATAAGCAGGATCTGGATCAAAAATAGAGCAGCTGGGATAAGAATGGGTGCCCATAGGGATGCTGAAACTCCAGCAGGATGATTAGCCCTCTAAGCCATTGTGCTGGCCCCTTTTCTAGATATTAAACATAATTTCTTCATTATTTGTGGTATAAATGGGACCCTTACCAAAGTTCAAGAAAAATGTATATTATGAAAAAACCGTATATAGATTTCAAAAATTTTTTTGTACTCCAATAAACTGTTAACTCAATTTTCCATGCACTTTTTGAGGTACCCTCATCTGTTTTATTTCTTGCAATGTTTATGTATAGGAACCAGTTTTTTCTTATTTCATTACAGGAGAAACTAACCTTCCTTCACACTCTGTATCAGCACTTGGTAGCAGGCTGTGTGCTCATAAAACAACCAGAAGGCATGCTGGATAAATTCTCCTGGTCTGAGCTTTGTGCGGTTTTGCAGGAGAATGTTGATGCCCTGATTGCAGACCTCAACAGGGCTAATGAGAAGGTAACTGTCCTGAGGCACCAGATACCTCCATTAAATCCAGTGACATTTGTCCACATCACAGTATCATTAAGAGGGGCTGACATTCATCTTATTTCAAAAAGAATTTGGGTGTTAATAATTCAATACCATTAATTATGGCTTGTCTACAACTCAGTTTGATGCCATTGCTGTGGGCATGTAAATGTGACTGAAGTCTGTATGAAGTCTCTAAGCTCCACTTTCTGTGCAGGACATGCTAATACTACTAGCCAGTATTAGCCACAGGGACCTAATTAAAAGAAAATAAATTAATCTTACTGATGAAGCAATTCAAAGAACTTAGTCATTTACATTAATAAAGCAAGTCTTTATGTTAGCATAAAATGGAAACAAGATTCAGTTATTCAAAAACATGATTTTAAAATTCTTTGCTTAAGAAATATAAGGTGTTGTTTTCAAAGCACTTAGAGAATTTTCATTTACATGTTTATGACTAGTTTCTTGAAATACAACAAACTATATATTGGAAAACTCATCCCATGATTTAGAACGTAGGAGGTACATTTTGTAGGAGAAAACAGTGGAATTTTACAGTCCTTTACTATTTCACAAACCTATCAATACAGTCTTTCAAGCAGAAAAAAAAAAAGCTTAAAACGTGATTTGGCTATAGAAAATGAAAATGACTTAGCAGATCAACAAATGCCACTGGTAAAAATACTGAATCTTATACTCGATTTGTTGCACTTACTGGAATTGCATTAGGTGATTTGGTTTCCAGGTCTTAGTTATAGTGACATCTGCTCTTAACGTGGCAAGAAAAGAAAGACTGTTTTGTTAAACAGTTAAGAAGAATCGGTTAAACTATTAGCATGGCGTTTGGACCCAGTTGTAGGGGGGATTGAGCATTTTTGCCTTAGTCTTGTTGGCAAACACAACTATAGGCACTAACAATAGAGTTGAGTAGCAGAATTGAGAAATGAGGGATGAATTGTGAGAAGCACAGAGCTGCCGTTCCTGATTGTGGTTGTGCATATAGTAGATTGAAAATCAGTGATGATTAAAACAAGTGTTTTAACTCTGAGATGGCATTATGTTTTGAACAGTTTTCGTAATTTTGGAGTACTATTAGTTGTCACACAATTCAGGATAGAAAGGTTTTTTCCTCTAGTGTTTGTAAAACTGGAATAATCTGCTTTTTGTATGTAGAATGATTTCAAATTTGTAAATTTCACTTAAATACTTCCATTTCCTTTGAAGGATTTGAATAGCCTTAGCACATTCTAGAAGTAAGAATTTCTTGCTTAATCTTCTTAGTAAAATAGTAAAACTGATTATAGAATGAGTAGCTTTATTACAGAACAGAATAAAAATGTTATCAAAGTACACAGATGATAGAATTTTCTGCTAAAATATATATGCTGTAAGTTCATATTTATTTACCTACACTTAAGAATGTTGCATAATCTTATATAATCTAAAGGTGTAAAATACAGTAGAGAATTTTGGGTGTTTTTTGGGCAGGTGATACTAAGAAATGGTATGTTGATGTGTATCATTTTCTTACACATTTCTCCGTATAGATAAGCCATCTAGAGTATATTTGTAAGAACAAGTCCGACACCATGAGGGAGCTTCAGCAGACTCAGGAAGATACCTTTCACAAAGTGGCAGAGCAGATCAAAGCCCAGGAGAGCTGCTGGAACAAGCAGAAGAAGGAGCTGGAGCTGCAGTACTCTGAACTCCTCCTGGAGGTGCAGAAGAGGGCACAGGTACACCCCCACACCCGGAGTAACCCTCTTACGTGGTTTTTTTTTCGTCCCAATGCAAATAAGTTGAGAACTTCTTGGGAACCCTGCGAAACTGACGTACGAACATAGTGTGCAAACATTCATGCATATGTAGACACACAAGCGTATGTGTTTGTATGGAGAAATAACCTTTTACTTAAGTTTCATTAAAAACAGTTGAACATCTGCTTTTGAATTAATTGATGAACTTGGATTTCCTTTATTTTTAAATTAAACATTAGGAGATTTGGTAAGATACAAACATTATTTCTGTTGGTGTAGATATTTACTCTTTTGTCCAGTTTACTGAATCTGTGGGAGTTTCTGTGTGAGTCATCCTTTTATTCCTTTTGGTATTAAAATTTGTTATACCAATAACATCTTCTAGGAACACTACATAAGTTATAGAACTTGATGCAAAATTACTAACCATACAGTGTATGCTTTTGTTGGATTCACTGAGAGTGGAAGTTATGGGCAGTTAACATAACCATATTTTTTTCCCAAGAAAATTATTATCAACAAACTGTCATTCCTGCCCAATAAGGAATAATATAATGATGGCGCATAGTTTTTTTGGTATTGAATTTATTATTGTTCCCAAGATAGGACACTTAGAACAGAGGTTGTATATTTTTCCTGTGGTTGATGCAATACCTAATCTTTTTTTTTTCATTTTTTCCTGGTTATTATTGCTAAGTTCCATTAAAAAAATCATTAAGAAGCAGCATGTAAATGTATCTGCTGTTAACTGGTTTCAGAATTCTTAAAATGAGACACTTTATATTAAGGACTCTATAAAGAACTTACACTTTTCTCTGAATTTGAATGAATCAAAATGCTCTCTAAAAGTAATGGTTGTAAATTATATGTAGATATTGTGTGGTATGCTCTGCATTTTCTGTGGCTGAAGTAAAAGACTTGAGCAATTTATGCTTTATGTGTGATATTAACATACAGGGAAGCATGCAAATGGTAGGTATTCATTTTTTTGGTCGGTATAAATATCTGTAAATCATTACTCCATCTAAGACTTGAACATTGTCATGACCATAGGGGGTTCCCTTATTTTTTTTTCTTCACTCCATTTTTCTGTTCTTTTTATTTTAAAGATTTATTTTATTTTTATTGTAAAGTCAGGTTTGCACATAAGGAAGATCTTCTGTGTGCTGGTTCACTCCCCAAGTGGCAGCAGTGGCTGGTGCTAAGCCGATCTGAATCCAGGAGCTTCTTTTGCGTCTTCCTTGTGGCCTCATAATCCCATAGCTTTGGGCCACTCTTGACTGTTTTCCCAGGCCAAGAGCAGGAAGCTGGATGGGAAGTGGAGCAGCTGGGGTATGCATTGGGGTCCATATGGGATTCTGGTGCATGCAAGGCCGGGACTTTGGCAACTAGGCTACTGCATCGGGCCCTCAGTCCATTTTCACTTCATGGGGACTCATTGTTCTAATGCTCATCATTATAGATGTGTGTCACCTTCTTTTGAATTTCACATAAGTGGAACCATTTCAGTATGTAATCTTTGGTGGTTGGCTTATTTCCAATAGCGTTAATATTTGGAACATATTGTCATTCGTGTTGTGGGATGTATCAGTATTTCATGCTTCTTTATGGTTGAATAGTAGATTGAAGACTAATGGATAGTCAAATTGTTTCCACTCTTGGACTATTGACGTAAAACTGTTATTATACAAGTTTTTTGTCAACATGTTTCCATTTCTCTTTGTTAATTACTCAGAGTAAGTAACCAGATCCTAGAATAGATATGTGTTTTTAATAAACTATTGAGGGTTTTTCTAAAATAACCGTGTTATATTTATATTTTCCCATAGGCAACATATTTTCATTGTTCTCTGTCCTCTTCAGCAGTTGGTATTGCTTTTACATTTTCATTCTTTATTTTAAGGTTTATTTTAAAAATTTATTTGAAAAACAGAGTGCAAGAAAAAAGAGAGATAAAGAGAGAAAGAGAGAGGGACTGATTTTCCATCTGTTGATTGACTCCTCAAGTTGCTGCAACAGTTAGGTCTGAAACAGGTCAAATCCAGGGGCAAGAAACTCCACCTGGGTCTCAAGTTAACTGAAATCTCCTGCTCTGCCTTTTTAGACTGATTAGCAGGAAGCCAGGTTAGAAGTGAAACAGCTAGGATGTGAACCAGCAATTTCAAATGGGATGTTGACAAGACAAGCAGTGGTTTAACTTACTGTGCCACAATACTGGTCCAATTTTTTTTTTAAAGATTTATTTTTTATTATTTTTTATTGGAAAGGCGGATATACAGAGAGGAGAGACAGAGAGGAAAGTCTTCCAACCGATGATTCACTCCCCAAGTGAGCGCAACAGCCGATGCTATGCTGATCCGAAGCCAGGAGCCTCTTCTGGGTCTCCCACGCGGGTGCAGGGTCCCAAAGCTTTGGGCCGTCCTCAACTGCTTTCCCAGGCCACAGGCAGGGAGCTGGAAGGGAAGCGGGGCTGCCGGGACTAGAATCGGCGCCCATATGGGATCCTGGGCGTGCAAGGCGAGGACCTTAACCACTTGCGCCACTGTGCGCTGGGCCCAGTCCAATATTTTTAATTTTAGTCTTTATATGGGTTTTAAAATATTTTCATTTTGATTTTATGTTTTCTTCATGATTAAGAATGGGAATACACTTTTCATAAGCTCATTCATTGTGTATCTTCCTTTATAATGATAGCTCTTCAAGTGTTTGTCCATTTAATAAACTGGGGTGTGTGTGTGTTTAAATTGGTCTTGACAGGTATTTAAAAAATTGTGTATTTGAAAGTCAAAGTTGCAGAAAGAAGGGGAGGAAGGGAGGAAGGTAAAAAGGGAGGTATTGAGGGAGGGAGGGAGGGAAGAAGAGAAAGAGAGAGAGAGAGAGAAGAAAGAGAAAGACAGAATCTTCCATTTGCCGATGTGCTGCAATGGCCAGCGCCGGGCCAGGTTGAAGCCAGGAGCCAAGAACTTAATCTGAGTCTCATGTGTGGGTAGCAGGAACCTGAGCACTGGCCTATCTTCTACTGCTTTCCCAGATCATCAGTGGGAGCTGGATCAGAAATGGAGCCACCGGGACTGGGATGCTTGCATTGAAGGCAGCAGTTTTACCTGCTGTTTCACAATGCGGGCCCAGATGTTTGTGTTTTATTGTTGGTTTGTAGAAGTTCCTCTTATATCCTGTGTACACACCTTTTACACAGGCTGTTCAACTTAAAACTTTTCAGATTTACAATGGGAATGACAGTGATGCATATTAAGTCAGAAGTGTGTTTCATTTTCTCCTGGGTGATGCAGTAAATAGTCCCTTGTGTTTCTGGGAAGTAGTGGTAAATGGTAGCTATGGGGTCATGGGGGCGAGTAACTGATATTTTAATTGCAGTGCATTGTTAACTTACGATTTCTTCTAGATTCAGTAGACTAAATTTTGACTCACAGTATTTTCAGCTATGGTAGATTTATTGGGATATAACTGCATTATCAGTTGAGAAGCATCTGTAACTGCATCACTTTTACTTTTCCTAGTCTTTCACATATATGTTCATTAATAATTTTTTGAAGATCACAAGCTTTGCAGTTTTGATGAAATCAAATATATGGATTTTTTTGTTAGCTGTTTTTCTGTGCTAGGTAATATTTAAATACACCACAAATGTGGAGATAGTTTTAATTCCTCCTAGTAGTGTTATAGGTTAAGCTTTCCTGGTGATCCTCTTCAAGTTAATTTTTGTGTATGATAGGTGGTGGCTTGGGTTCGTTTCCCCTTCTTCCTCCAACTCTTCCTGCACTCAGCCTTTGCCTCTTGGTAAAAAAACACCTTCATGTGTGAACCACAGCTGTGTCCGTCTGTGTACTTAAGCCTTTCCAAAGTTCATGTAAATGGAATCATCAAGTATGTTGCAGTGTAGACTAGGTTTATTTCAAATAATAAAGTGAATTTGCGATTTGTTCACATTGGGCTCTCAGTTTATTAGTTTCGTTTTATACTGCTGGATAATCTATTATACATAAGGATATTTCAAAGCATTCATGTAAAATAAAAATAAAAGATGTATTTTGGATGCAAAAAATGAAATTTGTGCATACAGGCTTTCCAAAAGCTGGTGCAAAGTGTATATTGGGAAAAAATTGTGCTTAGATTTAAGACATTTTTTTCCATGAGCATTTTGAAATACCTTCCTAATGCTCACTTTATTCAGATAATTGCTGATGGCCTTAGAGTTGTTTTGGTGAAGGTCTGATGTATGATTTGAGGTCCATTTAAAAAAATACTTATTTTTTATTTGAGAGGTAGATTTTTTACAGGGAAGGAGATGCAGAGAGAGACACAGATATCTTTTATCTGCTGGCTCACTCCCCAAATGGCTTCACTGGCTGAAGCTGAACTGATCTGATAGTGGGAGCCAGGAGCTGCTCGTAGGCCTCCCACATGGGAACAGGGGCCCGGCGACTTGAGCCTTCCTCTCCTATGCTCCCAGCAGGAGTTGGATTGGAAGTGGAACAGCCAGGGCTTGAACAGACACCTATATGATACATTGGTGCCACAAGTTGAGGATTATTTTGAATTGCCACCACACCTGTCCCCTACCCCCACTTCTTTCTTTATTTTTTAGTGTGGGTATCTGGCTATGCCAGTTCCATTTGTTGAAAAGATAGTCTGTTCCCTGTTGAGTTTCTTCTGCACTTTGGTTAAAAATCAGTCACTGTGTTTCTGTAAGTTATTTCTGGACTACTCTGTTCCATTTAAGTGCCTATCAGCTTTTCAATATGTACTGATTTAATTACTGTTGCCTTTTTGTAAGTCTTGAAATCAGATAATGTGGGTCTTCCAACTTCTTTCTGTTCCTATCAGAGTCTTGGACTCACTACTTTTATTCTGATACTGTAGGAAGTCACAGAAATTTGCTTTTTTGAAGTTAAGAGAGGATCAGTCATCACAGATGCTAAATACTGGGCTTTGATCGGTGTTTCTGCAGTTGGGAATGT